ATTTATAAATTTTTTTGTAAACTTATTAAACTTTTTAAAGCAGCGCTTTGAACGCATTTTTTTATTTTTTACTAGTTTTCAAATTTTTTATTTATGCTAAATATTTGCGTATTTCATTAGTTATCTAAATTTATAAAACTATTTGTAAGAAAACGGCTCTAAGAAAAATTAAAATCAGTTGCACATTTACTCAGGATTTTCAGGCGAACGTTATGGCTTCGCTTACTATTTATAACAACTCTCTACAGCACCCTACTCTACTTTCACAGATTAATCTTGCTAATTGCCAAATCAATGATTTTTTGCTTTCGAAAAAGGGGGTTGCATAGCCGCTCGCACAGCTTCCTCCCTCTAGTAAAACAGCCCGACAGCATTGCCGCAATCTCAGCAGCTGTAGCTGTTAGTTTTTGCGTGAGCACATAGGCATGTTTAATTAAAAAGCAACAATAACAACAGCCGGCTTGTTGGAATTGTTGCCAGCAGCTGCTAATAGCGACGGCATGCATTGGAATAAATGCCGTTGCGTAAACGACGGCTGTGATTCACTATGTTATGTTTATGTATGGGAATTTGGCGAGAGCGTGACAAATTGTTGAGATGTTATGTTTCAAGTAAAAACGGAATTGAAAATTTAGTTTTACAAAAAATTTGATTCAAGCATTAAAGAGAAATTACGATGGAAAATTATTGAAACGTTTTTACAATTTATTTTTTCTAAAAAAAAATAGTGGATTAACTAATATAGGAAAAAAATGAAAAAAATATCAAAAAAATTTTAAAATGAAAAGTTTTTACAATTTATTTTTTCTAAAAAAATAGTTAATTAGAAAAAAAATGAAAAATATATCAGAAAAATTTTAAAATTTTTATGAAGAATGTCAGATATCAAGAATTAATAAAAAGAATTAAATTAAACAAATTGTCAATAGAGCTCTAGAGTTCCAGTATAGATTAGCAATTTAAAAACATAATTAAAATTTAAAAGTTTTTATGATCAATATCAAACAAAATGGCAATAAAGCTTTTGAGTGCCAGTATAGAATTTTTTAAAATATTTTATAAACAATTTTAAAATATTTAATATAAAAAATTACACTAAATTTTACAATTTTTATGAAAAATGTCAAACATTCAGAATTAATAAAAGAAATTAAACTAGTCTAAATTTGAATTGAGCTATAGATAATGTTGCAAACATGTATGTCCACCAAAGCTTTTTTGGGAAACTAATATATTAGAAAAGTGTTAAAAAATGGCAAGGTAAACAATAAAACTGACCGCTTGCACCAGAAGCTACTACATAAGACAAGCAGTAATGCCAGATGGAGGTTCAGTTTAATTTGAGATAAATTTTTCGTTATACAGCACGTCAACGCTTTATGAGAACTTTAAGAGCGACCTGATATCTCAGTTCGTCTAGTCCCTTGACGGTATCGTCGTTAATTATACCCATGGTCTTGGCGATCCTGCATGTACTTGAGGCTTTTCATCTCGCCCTGAACCGTCTGTCAGGCCTTTCGGAAATTTCATTGTTTATCGTTTTTAGTGACTTCCGTATTTACTGTACTTGTTCGGTTTCCAGACGAATGGCGCTTTGGCCAATCTCATGAACTATTTCGTTTCACGGAATTCTTTTGTGATCTGGAAGCCAGCATATATTATCTACTGCCTGCCTGCTTCTAAGTACAAGTATGCGTACATTCAACCGCTGGAGAATCATGATAAAGTCCGAAAAGCCCCACTTCACTGGCTTTTTCCGTATTTCGAAACAATTTGGGATGAAATATGTTCGAATCCACTCAAATGTGGGTTAAAATTAAGGTTGGGCAGAATTTAAGAAAAGTGAGGTGGATCAAACAACTAGAAAGGCAGTTTCAGACGCGTTAATCAATCTTGTGTTGAAACGCTAAAAATTTTGTAAAAATAGCAGAGATCCTTGGGAGTAAATACAAAACTAGCTGGATAACCCGAATGAAAACGGAAAAACACGTTAGAATAAGCGTGAAGATATCCTATTTCATAAACAGATCAATTATGGTTTGGCTTACATTTGGAAATCAACAGGTCTGCTTAAGGCTACCACGAGACTGTCCTAGTTATGGCAACAGCCGTTTTCTCAACACTTGCAATATGCTGTTTCATTTTCGTATCATGTGTGTTGTTTTTGTAATTTTTATGTAACATAATGTTGGGAGAGTCATTTGGAGACATCAAATTTTTGAAATCTTTTGAAAGAGTCAAACATATTTTCTTTTATTTACGATGCTGCTTGCTTTTATCGCTCAACTTAAGTCCTCAGTACTGTCAATTCACAATAATTATCTTTTCACCAACACAAATACCTTAAAATGTGTTACATTATATTCAGTTATGTTTACGTTTACGTTAACGTTAATGTGAAATATTAAAAGTGCCTTAAATTGTTGTTGCTTTTTGACTTAAGCATAATTTATGGTATGCGCGTACTTAAGCGTGTATTTCATTTGAGCTGCGGCATAATTTCGAGGATCACCAACTAATTACAGATGTAAATGCATATATGTATATGTATGTGTGTATCTGAGTATATCTGATTATTTGCAACAAATCAATTGCAATTAAGCCGAGCACATGCAAAATGCGCATTAAAAACGGCGCTTTATGATACATAAGTGGCGGCATAAATGCATGTACAGAAGTGTGTATGTGTGCGTGTTGTTTTATATGCATTTTTGTATTGTATTGTATGTGCAGATGAAAGTGTGGGAAGATCATTTTGCCGAAAAAATACATTAAGCGCTTAAGTGTGTTTTGGAATATATTTCTGAGCATATATTTATGTATATGTGCATGTGTATGTATGTTTGCATGTATACTTTTCGCGAGAAGTCGAAATGTTTAATGGGTACGTGCCACAAAAGGTAATTAATGGAACAGGCTAACGTAAAAAATGGCATAAATAAAAAATTATAACCGCAACAACAACAATGTTGAAAACATTTATGCAGAGATTTTACGAGCTAAGCACAATGCATACATACATATATGCATATAGGTATATGTGTACGTATTGAAGCTTAAGTACATAAATAAGTGTGAGGCATGCTTAAAGTAGAGGCGGAACACAAAAACAACAAAAATAAAAAATTAAAATTACAATATAAGAAATTACAATTTAAAAATTAAATGAAAATTTTGTAAATATAAAAAAAAGAGTTTCCAGAATAAAAGAATTGAAAACAAGAATGTAAAAAATAAAATAAAAAATTTTAAAAACAATTAAAACTAAATTTGCACAAAAGAACTTAAAATAAAAATTTTAATAGCGAAAATAAAATTACAAAAAATTAATTATACTTTAAAAATTGAAATTTTACGAATTAAAATAAAAAAAAATAATAATTAAAAATAAAAATATAACTACATAAGAATTTCAAAAATAAAATTTAAAATAACATTAAATTTATCAAAAACAAAAAACAAAAAAAATTAGAATTAAAAAAAAAAAAAAAAAATTAAATAAGTCAAGTCAAGTCATTGAAATTAAAAAAAAAAAATATTTATAAAATTTTAAAATATTTATTTTTAATTTAAATTAAATTTTTTTAATATTAATTAAATTAATTTTCTTAATTTCAAAATACAACAATTAAAAATATAAATTTAGAAAAGTAAAATGAAATCAAAAAATAAATTTATTAATAATAACTATTAATTTGAATATATAAATATAAAAATTAATTAAAAAGAAATTTAATATAAAAATAAAAAACCCCACACTTAGAAATTAAAAATACAAATTTCCAAAATAGGTGTATAAGCAGAAAACTAAAACTAATAATAAAATAGAAAAAATTTATTAAAAGTATAAAATAAATTAATAATACAAGTAGACTAAAACTTTAAAAATTAAATTAAAATGTTAGAATAAAAAATTTAAAACTTAAAAAATTAAATTAAAAAAAAAAAAATAAAATAAAATTACAAAAGCAAAAAATAGATTTTTAACAATTTTTTACAGTTTTTTTTTAGATTTAAAATAATTTTTACTACAAAAATTTTAATTAAACATGATTTGTCATGTACAATACAATACAATAATTAAAAATATAAAATTTTAAAAGTGAATTTAAATAAAAGTAAAAATAAATAAGAAGTATAAATTTGAAATATAAAAAAAAAATAGTTTATAAAAACTAAAATTTAAAATTAAAAAATTCCAAATCTAAAAGTTGAAAATTGCTTATATAACAAGAAAATTTTATTTACAAAACCAAAACTGAAATTCAAAATTTTTTATTCATAATTATTTTTATTTTATTTTAAAATATAATAGATAAAAACATTAAATTCGATAATAGAAGGTAGGTAGTTGGCTATCTTTCGACCCAACTAGGCCTTTAAGAGGCCCATTGTGATACCACCGAGACTGCCGTCACCTCACTCTATTGGCTCCTCTCTGAACCACCACCGATAATAGAAACTTAACAATAAAATTTAAAAAAATCATTTAAAAGTATAACATAAATTTAAATATAAAAATAAATTTGAAATTTTTTTTTTTTAATTAAATACAAATTTAGGATTAAAATTTAAAAAAAATAAACAAATTTAATTTAAATTTAAGAATAAAAAATTAAAAACTTAAAAATTCAAAAATTCATTAAAAGTATAACATAAATTTATATATAAAAATAAAATTTAACAAAAAATTTATTTAATTCAAATCTGAGAATAAAAAATTCAAAACTTAAGTATTCAAATTTCAAAAATAAAAAATAAAAAATTTTAAATAAATAAAATAAAAATTTTAAATAAATTTTTTATTTACTTTTTTTAATCATAAAGTAAGTTAATAAAGTAAAATAAAAACAAATAAATTAAAAACACAATTTAAAAGAAAGAAATTTAAAGTTTAAGAATAAAAAATAAGGAGAAAAGTTAAAATTTCAAACAAATAAAATAAAATTAAATAAATAAAAATAAAATCATTTAAATAATTCAAATAAACTATTAAAAATCATTAAAAATTAGCAAATTAATTTTGAGCCTTTTTCAGAAAGTGCCAGGTATATTTTAATACCAAAACAAATATATACCCTAACAACGAGATGGCTTTCAGCAAAAATTTGCCAAAACCAACGAAAATTGTTGTAAGCGACAATGCAATATTGCCAAACCATAAGCGCAATGCATTTTTAGAAGCTGCGCTATGCGTGTATTACAATTTCGCCAACTAACAGCTCTACAGCAAAGAAAAAGGCGAATACAATAAAACTTTCTAACACAATGACCTAGAAATAGTAATTTGCGAATTCCAAGCATGCAGAATAACTGTAAAATATTGTATTATAGTATTGATGGTTGCAACTAGTAGGCGTTGCTAGAGCTCAAGGATAACGCTGCACTTCTGTTCATTGTGCGCTATCGCCGGCAACCGACTATTGTTAAGGCCTTTATAGGTGCCGCATACCTGTGCGCTGCGCGTCGCGCTAAGGATTCGCTAAAGCGTTGTTTAACTTCCGCAAACGATTACAATTTTTCGCAATTAGTGGAGATACCACTTCATTGCAATATGCATACATAATTAATAGCGCAGTTCCAGGTAAAAGGTAATTAAAGATGCGCGACGCTGCGCGCTGCGCGTGTAGAGTGTATGTGCTGCGCGTTGTTACTTGGTGAAAGAGCGCAAATTAAAATTTATGTGTATGTACATATGTATGAGCGCTGACTGTCGCGCAAGTAGATAGATAGTGAGTGCGATATATATATATATATAGATAGATATGTATAGAAATTGTGTGTATATGTGCGCGATAAATTGGAATTTTAAGGCTTACTTAGTATTTTTGTCCGTATTTAGTTACTTTCGACAGTTAGTTTACGCCAATGCGCGCAATTTAAGATACATTTCGCTAGAAGGGCTCAGCGCGCTGCAAGTAGCGCAAGGAGCTATGATATATACACACACACTTGCGCGCTATGTGTAAGCAGCCATTTTGCCGAAGGTGTGCAGCGCTCTGCCACAACACACGCCGGCGCTGTCAGCGCTGCTATAGCTGCTGTTTGTTGTTATTACTTTTGTATGCTGTGCGCGCACGCGCAACATAACTATACAGCAGCGACAAGCAGTTGCTTGCGCACTGACTTCGTTACGAGCGAAGATCGGCGCATACGAACACATATACACATACATACACAACACAACCAGCCGAACACACGAACGCGCATAAGCAGGACAACGGCTGACAAAAACGAGACAAACACATACATACAAATGTGCATAGCTATAGCATAAGCTGTAGCGCGCTCTGTAGTTGCGCCGCTTATGTATGTTGTTGTGTTTGTAGTAGCACTACAGCAGAAGTAATATCATAGCCCAAATTTCGGCATATCGCCACAGAACGACAGTAACGATCGTGCCGTGTAGTTAACTACCTAAGGATCATACAAACGTAGATGCCTTTGTGGCGACAAAAAAAAGTTCGAAATTATCAACTGATAACAGACTACGAAAAATATTTCGACAAAAGTGCGCAAATATTTGTGTGTTTAAAACAGTTTATGATAAGTGCTTGATGTTGAAGAGACAACAGGTGAGCGGCAGCGACTGCCAGTGTTATAAAAAAAGTTGCATAAAAGCTCAAAAGCTTGAGAAAAAAAAGCTCAGTTTTGTATGAAAGTGCCTAGCGAAAGGACAACGTGATTATTGATTATTTTAAAAAATATAAAAAACGGCTATATTCAAAAATATTTGAATTTTCAAGTTAAAATATATTATTTTCTCAAAACTCAGTGCGTGAAGTTAGAACGCTCGAAAGATTGTGATAAAATTGAACTTCTGAAACAGTGATAACAAAAAAACGACAAGTCACTTAGTGATATTAAAAGTGCCTCAGAAGTTTTAAAAGATTAAAAGACTACAAATAAAATAGTAAGTTTTTTTCATATTCAGAAATCGTCAATTAAAAGCTGCGAAAAGTGGTCCAAAGCTTCGCAAAACTAAAAAGCTTTCTAAAAGCTTGAAGCTTTTCTGTAAAAGTTGCGTAGAAAAGCAATTTTACAATTTTTATTGAAGGTGCATTTCTAAAATCTCTATGGCAGTTGAAAAACCTTCAAGCTTTTCTGTAAAAGTTGCATAGAACAGCAATTTAACAATATTTATTGAAGATACATGCAGAATTTTTATTGAATATAGGGCTAGAAATTTAATAGAAACCGCTAGAATATTAAGAGACTAACGAAGACGAGTTGAGGTGTGTTTGTGGCGGATTGAAAATCACATTTAAACACACAATTTTGAGGTTAGCTTAGTTTAAAAGTAATGCTCGCAAAAATGAAAAATAGAGAGAACTTAGAAGATTTTGGAAAATTATTTTTTGAAACTTAAAAAAAATATGAATCAAAGAAGTGCTTAGCGATATTTTGAGCTTGATTTAGATCAAAAATACTGCGAGAATAAGAAATAAAATCTATTGAGAACAGAGGAACTTAGAAAATAAATGTTTAAAATTTATTTTGAGGTTAGTTCAGTTAAAAAAAACTATTACAAAGCACGAAAATTCAAACAAAAATACATAGAGGATCAAAATCATTTAAAAGTAGAGTGGAGAGAGAACAAGTGCATTCAAAGGCGCTCAATAATGCAACGAGTAATGTATGATTTATTTTAAGGTTAGTTTCGTTAAAAAATACTGCTCAAAGCAAGCAATACAAGGCGAGTGAACAAATATATAACGAAAGTAGAGAGTGAGAAGACAAGTGCATACACAGCACTCAAAATATTGTAGGTGGTTCTAGTGGCAAAGGAAGAGAGTCAGATCAGAGAGTAAGCGAAAGAAAGCGCTTATTGCAGCGTTAAGAGTGTAACAAGCAAGTGTAGGTTACTAGTGTGCTTAGTTCAAGCATTCAAAACAGTTACATATATTAGAATATATTTTGAGGTTAAGGTAAGGTTTGGACTGAGACTTTGTTACATTAAGGTAGTATACTAGGAAAAACTAAGTAAAGCTATGAAGAGTTATAGTAAAGAAGTTTCTAAGTCATGAAGAGACACGAAATTGGTAGAAACTTAATTGAAGAAGTGGCGCTAAAATGAGGAGTACGATACGATATTTGAAGTTTATTTTAAATTTTAGATTCTAACATTTTTTGTAAATAAAGTTCTGATAATTCAGAGCAGTTTTGAGGAGTCAATTTTGTTAAAAAAGTAGAGGAGTAAATTAAGCGTGCAAAAATAGTTTAAATTTGATTTGATTTTAGCGTCTACTAAAAATTAGTAAAAAAATTGTAAAATCCCGAAATCAATCGAAAAATAACGAAGTGTAATTTAGAGAGATTATTGTAGAGAAGCGCTCTGGGAGAAGTGTAAATAACGGCTGTAGTTTAGCTTAATCAGAGTTTTGAGAAGATTACCAAAAATTACTAGTAATTTGCAAAGCTGTGAAAGCATGTGAAAACTAAACGAAGTGGTTTTACAACACGTTAAGCGTCTCGCAGACGCCAAGCGCCTTATTCTGACTATTGTTGTTGTTATATATTATTTATTGGACATTATTAATTACACAAAACGTTTTTGTCGTTCTTGTACATAAAGCCAGCGCTATGTAAATGAAGTCGAAAAATTATAGCGCCGCGCCTGCGCAGTTTCCTTTACAACTTTTCGTATCTGCACAGTCATTTCTTTGCTTCTTTACTTTTTTATGTCGAAAAACACTTAGTCATCAGTGCAAATTTTTAACTCCACACATTTTTTTTTCGCTTTTACAGTTTTTCGAAAACCAGCAACGACAACCGAATGCGCAGCGAGTCAGCAACACGCGACGAACGATTATAAAAATCGAAATAAAAAACACACACATACAGTCAGTCTTCAACGCAGAGACGCAACAAAAGCATTAATACACAACTTGTTGCAGACACGCAATGTGCTAGAGTGCTAGCCAGCGCAGCGCTAAGAGACAGTTGAGATTTTACGCAAATCAACCAAGTCCACACATACCACAACCAAAGCGTAAATTTATACTTTATAGCACCTTTCAAAGAAACAGAAATATTAACAAAAACACATACAACATATGTAGTTGATGGCCTCAATTGAAACAGAGATGCCGCCGATGCATGCGGCTGAGACCGGTGGCGTGGCCGGTGGCGGTGTTGCCGACAATGGCAGCAATAACGGCAATGCTAACGCTAATGGCGGCAACAATGTCGCAGCGGCCGTCTCTAGCGGACCGCATTCGAATGGTAGTGGCGTTGGTGATGCCGGGCAACCGGGCACAAATAACAACAACAATACGATTAGCGCCGCTGCAGACTCGAGCGACAACCAGCCGGGCACACCGCAGCCACCCACTAATGGCCAATTAATTGCCAACAACGAGCAGCAGCAACAACAGTTGGGACATAATCCCTACGGCATGTACACTTCGGTAGCGACCACAACGAATGGTAGCGTCGGCTTGCCACATATGTATGGCGGCAGCATTTACGCCACGGCTAGCAGTCAACCAGATATGCAACAGCAACAACAACAGCCACCCTACCCCAGCTATCTGAACTCCTTCGAGCAGTTCTACCAACAGCAGCAGCAACAACAGCAACAGCATCAAGCTGGCGCTGCCATGGATTATGGGCTGATGTATGGCGCTGGCGGCAACAGCAATGGCAGCAGCGACTACAAATCCAACCAATCGGCAGCTAGCAATGTGCGTTACCATCCCTATCTTAACAACCCGACTTCGTGCGGTACCGCCGACGGCAGCAATCGCAATGGAACGCCCGAGACTAATACTAACGGCGTTGCAGGCGGCACATTACCGTTGCCACAAAGCAGCGCCGCCGTATCGACTACCACGAATTCGCTGAGTCCGCGCTTAGTTAGCTCAAGCAGTCCAACATCGACTTCGACACACATGCAGTTAAGCGGCAGCTCTGCAACCGGTTCGCCAAGCGGCAACTGCAAGCTACAATGCAAGAAATGTGGACTCATGTGCGCCAGCGACAACGAGCTGCAAGAGCATATCACCAATGTGCATGGCGCCTCGCCCTATGGCAGCAGCGGCTACTCCAGCTCGCCATACATCAAGGAGGAACTTTCCTCGGGCTCGCAACAGCAGTCCACAGCAACACAGGGCGGTCAGGGTGGCAATCCGGGTGAATTGCTTGATTTGGATTCACAAAAGATGGTTTATCCGCCTGCACCGGGCAGCATACAATCGCTGTTGCATCATCCACATCAGATGCATGAACCAGTTGGTGGTAGCGATCCGCTGCACTCTATGCACAGCATGCAACAACGCGCTTTACCCGGCTGGGAGCAGCCACAGCCGCCAAATAACGGCATGCAGGAGAGTATGCCAGCCTACATGCAGCAGCAGCAGCAACAGCCCACACAACCACAGCCAGGCCAACAGCAAACAGATTTGAGCGTCAAGCCACCGCATGCGAATCAATCGCCATATTACTCGCCCAAACAGTCGCCTTATCATGTGCCAGGCAGCATGCCCAACGGTGCAGCTGGCATGGTTATAAAGCAAGAATATGGCATGATTAAAACTGAGTACCCTGACTCACAGAATTATGTGGATAAGTCTTTTGATCCCACTGTAACCGCTGATATATGTCAACAACCCCCGCCCTCCGTACAACAACAACAACAGCAGCAACAACAACAAATGATGCCGGTTTCTTCAAGCCCAGCGGAGTTTCCTACGACTACCACTGGGCCACAGGATCCGCAACAGCAGTATCGTGGTTTTGAGCCACCCTCTTCGTCATCCGTTAATACAGTGAGTTTGCCTACTAAGGCCGCCACTTGGAAGTCGAATGAGGCACGTCGCCCGAAGACATACAACTGCACCGCTTGCAACAAGTGGTTCACTAGCTCTGGACACCTGAAGCGTCACTACAATACCACCTTGCATAAGAACGCAGTCAAATCTAGCGGTCAGCCAGATCCAGCAACGCTGCCGATATCTGCGCACCATCATCCGGCACGTGATCCAGTCACAACAACAAAGTCACACAGCCGTCGCAATAATGCTAATGCCGCTGCAGCAGCAGCAGCTGCCGCCGCCGCCGCCGCACAACAACAGCAACCACCTGCACCGGTGCAACCACCCGAACCGCCTAGAGGTTCGCCGGACTTTGCACAGGGTGCGGGTATGGGCATGTCGCAGTACTCCGCTTCACCATCGCCGACACAACAAATGCAGATGAACGGTCTACCGTATGGCGCCAACCCAGGCGGCTATCAGCCACAACAACAACCACAAACGCAATACTTGAATCAAGTGCAGTCTTCGACGAATAGTCATTCGCCCAGCCATATAAATGTGCCGGGTATCTCGCCAAACAACACACAAACCGTTTTGAACGGTCACCCAAACGGGTTAGCAGGTCCCTCCGCCCCAGTAACACCACAACCAATGCCGTCCTCCCACACGAGGGGCCTGCTGAACAAAACAACAACCACTACCACAAAGAGCGAACCCTTGGAGGACAACTACCCGCACAACAGCAACAGCAACAACAGCACAATGCACATTCGCTCGCCACAGCTGGAAGCGGAATTGGACACGGATCAGGAGTTGGACAACACGCTGTCGTCGGAGGAGCGGGAGCGCTCCCAAATGGACATGGAAATGCTGCAGCAGCAACAGCAGCAACAACTGGAAGAGGAGGCAGCAGCAACAGCAGCAGTGGCAGCGGAACAGGCACAGGAGGCCGAGGTGCAGTTACAACGCCACCGTCAGGCACAAGCGGATCTTCAGCAGGGGGAGGAATTACAGGTTTTCCACCATCAACTGCTGGAGGAATTGGAGGGGCCGCAACGGCACTATCACAACACAACGCCCACGCTCAATCCGGCGTCGGAGCACAACATGCGAGCGCTATCGCCCCTTATTACCTCCCACCAGCACTACCACCAGGAGCAGCTGCGACGTCCGCCGGGAATGGTGGACAACATTTTCTCTCCCATGCAGCCGCCAGCAGCAGTCACTATGCCAGCCAATATAATGGATCCCCAATACAACATCCTACCTTTGGGTATCAACACGCCGCCGCTGCTCAGCAGCAATATGCAGCTGCTGCAGCCGCAGCCGCCCATCACCAACACCAGCACAGCTACTATGGTCAATATGGGCAACATCCATATGCTGCACAGCCACCACCACACCCAGCAAGCGGCGCCGGAACAGCAGGAGCGGCTGGTGTTACCATCCATGCGCAGTATGCTGCTCAACAATACCAGCATACAGTCGCCGGTGGACCACATCAATTCCATCACGCCGCAGCTGCTGCCGCCCATCACCACCACCACACAGCAGCTGCTGCCGCCGCTGCAGCAGCAGCCGCAGCTGCACACCACCAACACCATTCCATCATACCAGCAGCTGCAACAGGAGTCGGAGCTGGCGCCGCTGGAGCCCACAATGACCTATCACACTATTATTGGTAATGAGACGGCAACGTCTAGCGAAGATGGAGAAGTGCTTACCATTAACAGCAGCAGCGGCAGTAGCGAAAGTAACGACTACATACAATTGTCTACGATGGATGCATACGGCGGACTGCAAGCGCAACAAATGATCACCGCCGACGGACAAATACTACAGTTTATGTCCTCCTCAATAATGGGTCAGTCATTCTATGCACTACCGCCGCGCACCACTTTGCGTGAGTCATATCCACGTTCACCACAAGAGGGTGACTTGCCGCCAGCTCATACGATTTTAGGCACTGGTGTGCACATGCAAGAGCACCTGTACCTACAAGAATCATCGCAGCCAATGGACGACGGTGCAGTTGCACCGTATTCACCAAAAGATGACCTATCCAGCGCGGACACGACCAGTAAAGGTGAAATAAATACAACCGCTACAACCCAAAATGATGAGAGTGGTCTCTCAGCCAACGACAACTCTACAGCTGACAACAATACCAGCACAACCAACACAAGCACCAAGAACACCGCCGCCAAAAACGCCACCAAAAAAGCCGCAAAACCACGTAGACCGGCTAAACGTCAAACCGCGTCGAAACGGAAGATTTCGCCCTCACAATGCACCACTACGCCACGTTCCATCACGCTACCTAACGGTCGTGTTAAATGCCTGGAATGCGATAAGGAGTTCTCCAAAAACTGTTACCTCACTCAACACAACAAGAGCTTCCACTCCGGTGAGTATCCATACCGTTGTACTACCTGCGGTAAACGTTTTCCTTTGCCGGAAATACATCGTGTGCATAACTCACGACATCATGCCACCGATAAGCCACACAAATGTGATCGGTGCCCCAAACAATTTCATCACAAGACCGACTTACGTCGACACATTGAAGCCATACACACAGGCATGAAGCAGCATGTCTGTCCATTGTGTGATAAGGGCTTCTGTCGTCGAGATCATTTGCGTAAGCATATTGAGACGCATTCGCGTCCCAGAGTGGTCGCCAAACGTGTGCTTAACGCCATAGTTGAAGAGGGCTTATTTGACATGTCAACACTGGAAAAACCATACAGACCATATGAAAATGACACGCCTACCAAGACAAAAGACGTAGAACAAGACCAAAATAATACAAACTCGAACAATGCAGGCCAGGACCAGTGCACAGAACCGAAACAACCCAAGGCTAAGAGACGAAAAAAGGCAAGCGCCACACCAGTGGGTACAATACAAGCCAATAATGTTAAGGTCGAGCCCGTTGAGATGCCACCACCGCTATATACAGCACCACGTGCGCGTTTAACGTCGACGGCTGTAAGTGGGGCACTAGACGAGAGCAGTTATGTACTAAGTTCGACTGACGAAAGTTACATAGAAGAAGATAATTTGGTTATCGCGGATGGCAATTTAGAAGCAGGAAATAGTTATATAATTAAAGAGGAACCATATGTAGATGGCATGCCATATACAGAAGCTTTGCCCGAGAAGCAGCTGTCAGCCTATTTCTGATCAAAAGACAGCAGTAGTTAGTGGAAAGAAATATTAGAAATACAGAAAAAGGAATTGTAAGTTGGGTCAGGGTTTTTGAGCGTTTTACAGTTAATAAAGATGAGTTAAAAACGTAAGATTCGAGTTATTGGTGTGTAGAAAACAATTTAAACAGTAGCAATTGGACGACAGACAGTTCAGTGTTTCTGACGTGGTCTATGACATAATACGCACTAGTACTAACAGCAGGAAGAGGACGCAGCATTTTGCATTTTGCAGCGGCGTTTTCAACGGCTCTGTTACTAAGTATTAGCTGCGGATAGCAAGTTAAGCAAGTTTTTAGGATGTCTGTAATATACAGCATCGATACAGACGGTTCTACAATTTCGGTACAACGTAGAAAGTAGAGTGACGGAGACTCGAACTGGAATGTTGCTATATTATGCTACCATTTTCCGTCTGCTGCAGACGAGCAATTACCTTCGCTGCACTACGGCAGTAAGACGTTTGAGAATCTCTGAATTGCTAAGATCCAACTTGACGCTCAAGCCTCTAAGCTTGCAGGTTTAGGAAGCGCCAAAGAGCTGCGCTGCATATATGACTGAAAGAGTTTGATAGCGCTGTTAACCACAGGGTTTTGTAAGTGTAGCGCTTAATTTAGGTTGCTTAAAGCTGTCGTTTTTTTCGGTATTGGTACGAAAGCAAATTATGCAGCTTAATTATAGCGTACTTGGGCCTCGGCTTATGAAGTAGTGCGAAAATGTAGGCGAAGTTTCTAATCGGTTCCAAAGTGCGATTAGAATTTCCGTGTAGCTATGAGAACGTTTTAGGTATGAAGTTTAATAGCAAACCAATTATGTTTCAAGTGTAGTTGAAATAAACAGTGGATCAGACAATAAACCGAACAAAGTAACTTAGGCGTTACGGCCTTACAGCGGTACGTATACAAGAAACGCGCTACGGTCTGTGCTGTAGCAAGCAAAATGCAAGGCGACAGCGCCTTAGCGGTGTGTTAGTGGTGTACTAGTGAAATTAGCGGCGAGTGCACTAATTAAAGACGGCTTGTATGGATTTCTGTGTATTTAAAGCGCAAGAACTAGGAATTTTTAGTGGTAATCTTGTGCTTTCTTGTCTACTGCGCGAAATTGTGCAACTAACGGCGCTGTGTACTGGTTCGTATGCCTAAATCGTACGTTTATTTGCGGCCTTTGTTAGGCGCCGCTTGCCAAATGCAACCAAAACCACCTCAAAATGCCATATTTACAAGTACTTATCTAGATTTGTATGAATTGAATTGAATTTATTATTTTCAACGCAAATACCTCAACAGCTAAAGAATGGAATATACTCAGGGTAGCTAACTAAAAAAAAATAGTATTATATAATTTATATATATATATACATATAAAATTTCAAAACCGATAATTATTTGTATTATTTTTTGTTAATTACATAACCTCATAATTTTAATTACTTGTAATGCAACGCTCAAACCCAATACATTAGCTTATCTTTGTATATTGTTTTCATTTTTGTATTTTATGCATTTACATATAATTTTTTCATTAAAAATTTGAGTAATTTTGCAATTGAATTAAGCATATAAAATTTGCATAGCGTAAATGTACTTACGCACTTTTTATGTTAAAGCCAAAATTATGTAAAGCACAAGCATTTGAAAGGAACAATAATGAATATTTGTATTAATTATTTTTAATTAACTTCTTTTTCTGCAGTATAAATAAACAAATTTTGCAATTGTAAAGTATTAAACTTTTTATTTTTTGGATTTGCAAAGAAGAAGCAGCAGCAGCAATTGCATGGAAATTAGACGAAATGGCTTTGTCGTTTTAGTATTCTATCTTTCATAGTATTACTTATTTATAAAAAAAAACCACGTAAAACATACATAACTGTATCTGTAATTAGCGCACAGCAAACGCTCATTTATATAATTTAGTTTTAAATTTTATTTTTAGCTAAGTTTGTTTATGTTTTATTAAACAACACGCAAAAAAAAAATATTTTGTAAACAATTGCCAAGGCTGTACTTAATTACAATAAATTCGAAAAAAAAAAATTTAAGAAAAAATAATTTTTTTTTAAATAATTTTAGGCAACGCACAAGCACTTATTTCCTACAGTGTGCCAATACAGGCTTGCATTTGTGACAGAGTGTGCAAAAATTTCGATATATGCGAAAATTATATTTACCGTTTATATATATAAGAAATTGTTGCAGTTTAGCATACCAGCAATCAAAATTTAATTTATTTACTTTAAGCTTTGTTTTTTTTTTTATATGTAACTCTCTTGTCAATAAAATTTCCAATACACATTTAAATTACAAAAGTAGTTTCTTGTCAATAAATTCTTTTTGGTAACCAAAATTTTCAGTATTTTAATTTCAAAATAAACATTACTGCTTATTATAACTACTTTTTAAAGCAAAAATTTTATATTTAAAATTTCTAGCTTCTTCAATTTTTATAATTATTTTCCAAATAAATTTATCAGATAACTTGAAATGTATCTTAAATTTAATTAATTGAATTAATGTTTTAACAAGTTTAAAAATTTTCAATAACAAACAAATTTTTTTTTTTTAAATTTTTCAAACCGTTAGATATATATTTGTTTTATTTTTTTAAACCGTTCTTGATTTTATTATTTCCCTTTGTATTTATTTCATTTTGTTTCTTAATTATGTAAGATTTATTAGTAATGCTTTCAATTTTTTTGAACTCTTTTTATTCAAATACTCTGAAACTAAGCTAATCTTTTTTTTCAAAAATATAATTTATTTTTCAAATATTTTTTTATTTTTTTAAATATGTATTCAATTATATTTATTTTTAACTATTTCTATATTTTTTATTTTTATTTCTCTTTTTGTTTCTCATATAATACTACTTTAAACTATTTTTTTCAAAAAAACTAATATGTTTTCAAAAATATTTACTAATTTTTTACAAAGAAGTTTTATAATTTTTTTCAAAATACTTTATATTTTTTTCAAAATATTTTTATTATAATACATTTTATTAAATTTTTAATTGCAAATATCTTTATAACTTTTTATATTAAATATTTTTTTTAAATTTTTATTTCAAACAATTTTTTCATAAAACTTAAACTGAACTAAAATTTTTTGCTCAAAAATATTTTTTAAGAATTTAAAAATTTCTTTTTTTTCCAAATATATCTATTTTTTTATATTAATGAATTTATTTTTTAACTTTTTATTCTAAAATTTTTTATTAAACTTTTTTTTTGGAAAAACCAAAACTGAACTAAACTTTTTTTTCAAAAATACTTTTTAAACTTTTTGTCCAAAATATTTATATTTTAACTCGCCAAAAATAATTCTTACATTGTTATTCCAAAATAATTCTTTACGTTTTTTCCAAATATCATTTTTTAATTTTTTTTTTTTAAATATTAAAAGTTTTTTTTTCTAAATATATATTTAACTTTTTTTTCTGCACTTAACAACTTGCGTATATTAATGCAAATAAGAAATGCGCACTCTGTTACAAAAGCAAGCGTACATTATTCTCACTTATGATTTTTACATTTAAAGGTGACCAGATTTTGTTTTCGGCGCCTCATGACTTTTGTTGCGTAAGAAAATAACATAAAACATATATAAATACAAATATTATAATTTTGTAATACTCATATATACATACACATATACTCAAAGCGTAATGCCATATCTATTAAATAATTATAATTATAATTTTAATTTAATTTTAAAATATATAAGTTGTAAAATATAATTTTTGCCATACAGTATAAAAAAGTAACAGCAATTATCTTAAGCCCACTAATATAAAAACAGCGGATAAAGCTTATATTAAAAAAAAATATTTCCAAAATATTCCAAAAAAAAAAATAATTTCAATTTACAAAAACAATTTTTTTTATAAATTTTGTGTATTTTTTTTAAAACAATTTTTGAATAATCAAAAATATTTGTTTTTAATTAAATTAATTTTTTATAAGTGTACAGCATTTGCTAAATATAATTTTCCAAATTTTAATTAATGCAATTAAAGCTTTTATCGAAAATTCTCAAATTAGAAAAAAATATGTAAAAAATTGTCAATAATTCTTTTGCATTTAGAATTAAAATATTTTTCTTACAAAAAAAAAATACTCATAATTAATGTTACACTGCAACAAATACTCCAAATGACCAACAGCCATAAAAGCTAATTATATAAAGCTTACATAACAGTTACGTAAGCTGTACTTAACCGTTTTGTGACCTTTATGCATTTTGCTTCTTCGTTATTGGCTCAGTTTTTATGGCTTCTGGTCACTCGAAAATACTTTAGTTGTAAAGTAATTGATAAATGGCAGAAAAAAGCTTCATGATTTTGTACCTAAACTTATAAATAAAAATTCATTGTTTGAAATATATAAATATTAAAATTTAAAAATGCGAAAAAAACATTTTTAAATAATATTGAGATACTCGTACGCTGCGCGTGGCATATAATTATGTTAGAATTGTTTAGATTTTAGTTAATACTAGCTTTGATGGGCATAAAATTGCCTAAAAAACAAAAAAAAAAAATTATCAAATATTTTATGGATGCATGAAAAGCAGAAAAATAAATTATTGCAATTGTGTTTACAAATGAAAAAACTGTATATACTGTGTTTTCTTTTGATTTCTTACTGTTGGTAAAATTTTTAATTTTTTTCTGCATGTTTAGCAGTTTGTTGTGAGTAGCAATTGGGTTCGAAAATTCGAAAAAATTTGTGTGTTTCATGTTTTGAAATTTTTTCAAAAATTTTATTACGAAATTTAAAATTTTTAAATTGCAGATTTGTTTTCAAATAAATTTTTTAATTTTTTGAAATATTTCAATTCTATTTTTTTGTCTTTTTTTAAACTTATGGCAACATTTATTGAGTAAAAATTAGCTTTGATAGCAATTCAAAACATGTAGTCTAGTTTTGAAATCAAGATTTGAGAAAAGTCTTTTTTAGGATTCACTATTCCTTGAGTTCCAATTATAAAAATGTGGCACATACTCTTGAGCTTAAAGCTCTGTTACGTAAAGCTGTATAGAGTTCTATACCCAAGGATCTAACCTAAAAAGTTTGAAGTACACTGCATGTGATTCGAATTCTTTCTTCGAAGAAAATAAAATTAGGACCTGGTGTAGCAAGTTTCCAATACATTGCGCGTGTATAGAATTTTTCCTGGGAAGACAAGCTTAATTTTGAAGTCAAAATGCTTCAACCTGAGTCAAAGAGTCTACAGGTAGAAATAAAATCTTCACAAAATGCTCGACAGAACTATTGAAGACTGACAATACACTTACGAAGACTTCAATTCCTGATGTAAGTAAGCTGGACATTCTAACTCTAACTTGCATAAAAGCTGGTCTTTGGTGGACCGAGACTCAACAATACTTTTGTGTTATAGATAGTGACAGAAGTAGTGATCTTAATGAATGGTTTAAGTAACTATACTTTCGAACAACAGCTGTTATAAGATTTTGTCCCTTAATGGATGCAATCCCTCTATATATACTGAAGGACTTGGTATATTTTACGCATTATTTTGAGAACTTTGTCTCAGCAGAAGAAACAGTTTAAGGTCTTGATCAATGCAAAGATATTAAATCGGTCTCTGTATAGAAAGAAAGACTGCAGTTTATCAAGTTTAATTTTAAGTGAGTAGTTTGTAACCTGAAAGCTAGATTAAGCCCTGTAATGAGTACTTTTTGTGCAAGTACAGCATAAAGATTTTGAGTATTTAGCTAGATTCTGCGATAGAATAACTTTTCGATAGTTAAAGAGACCAAACGCTATAATATGTCGAACACCCTCGATAATCCACATAAATATTTCCCACTTTCTCTATTTCTCTCTTTCTCACTCTCTCTTAAATTCACGCTCTTTACTTCGCTTGCTATATCGAGAGCCTTTAGTTCAGTAATGTCTCCACAATTACATTTTTATCGATGTTATTTCCAAATCTTCAAGTTTTCAAAGATTTTTGGGCTTTAATTAATTAGGAAGTAGTCTAATAGATTTTAGATCTTAAAAAAGTTTGGATAGAATCACTTATTTACTTTGCCCTAATATTCCGGAAGAGCATGTTTCTTAAAACAATGACTCATAATTTTGATATTTTGGGGTTCGGGTGCCTCGTGAAATTAAATTTTTGACACTATACATTCTCGCCGAGCTTGAATAGATTTGTTGATATGCAGTTTAAGTGTGAATCTGATTTTGTGCCTCACTGAGGGTATTCACGATGAAAAAATTGTTTCCTAAATTTTACTTTAAATATAAATATTTAATGAATTATGGTTTCAGTATAATTTATTCTGAATTATATATACATATATACGAGTAAGGTCAGGTAAAAATTTTTAATATGTGTATGTAAATTTATATAATATTTACCATATAACAATTAAAAAATATTTTTAGGGTTATATACATACTTGCATACATATGTATGTATGTATGCATATATGTATGCTATATGATGCATTAGAATCTTCAACTGGCCTTGGTCAACAATTTTTTTTTTAAATTTTCTGTTTACATTTTTTTCGCTGTCAAAATTTGTACTTTTCATTTCTCTGTGTAGTTGTTGTTGCTTTCAAACTACATAATGTCTCATTGTATTTACGAAAAACAAGTTTTTGAATTCGAGTGAATTATTCGTATAGTGTTATAGTTATATGTTGCACTTTTATGTGTATCGGGAGTTTGGAGCAAGAAGATATTAGTGAGTGTACACATACATACATACATATTTTTATGTGTGCCTTAACATACGATTTCTGGAATCAAAAGCAGAAAGCGAAAATGTTTTGTAGCAAGATTGAAAACACACAGTGCACGTTAGCTACAACAACTACAACAAAAAAAAAATAACATAACAAAAGCACAAAATAAAAATTTGAAATGAAACAAGAAAAAAGTCAATACTATGAGCGACAACAACAACAAAAGTAATTCAACAACAAAATCGATACAACAACAATGACAAAATTAATACAGCAACAACAACTACAACAAAATTAATACAACAACAACCAAATTGAAACGACAAAAACAAAATTAAATAACACAACAAAACTTAAATAAATCAAGATTACAACAACAACTATAATAATAATAATTTTGTAAGCCAGCTAAATAACAGATCGTTGACAACAACAAAGGAACAATAAATGACAAAAACACAACAAAAAATGAAAAAAAAATTCAACAGCAACAACAACAGCACTTAAACAAACCAGTCTTAACGTTTTCTGTGTTATGCCTTTTCTAACCTCAACCAGCTACGGCATACGTACAGCAAGCAGTCGGCAATTAAGCCGGCAAAGTATAATGACAGCAGAAACCACCCTCCAGAAGCATATGTGTATACATATGCATACATACAAACTAACTAACAAACACACATATGTGTAGCTAAGTGTCTTCATAGATACATACATACATACATATATCGCTATATAACTTTGATTTTTATTATTTTTATTTAATTTTGCTGCTTTGCTTATGCTTATTGTTGCTTGCTTTCATGCGCAGACAACGCTGTTGCGCCCGAAGACAGTTGGTATGGCTTGTTTTCTGGCTTTGCGCATGCTCAGGCTACGCAACAACTGTCTTCATTTTACTTATGCTACAGATATACATACATATAAACATGTATACATGCATACATGCATACATGCATACATACATACAACAACAACAAGACATAGTATGTACGACTGTTACTTCGCTTCCCGACATTTCTGATTTTCCTGTTTCTTCGCTTTCAACTTCTGTGTAGGCATTTCATTTCGTTTTTACTTCATTTCAACTTCGTTTCGGTTTTTGTGTCGCGTGATGTTATTGTTGTAGTGTTTTTATTTTTTTTGCTACAATGCAAACCGGTTTGATTTTGGGGAACTTTTCGGCAGCGGCGACATGTGTTCTTTTAGGCACAGACTGTTGTTGGTTTATTTTTCGCTTTTGTTGTTGTGATCTCAGTATGATCTGGCTGTATGGTGTTTGTTACTACGACCCACTTGGCGAAATTCCAAAAAATACGTTGGCAAGTAGCGTAAATACAGCTCAAATTTGTTGTGCTGAAAAATTTATTTGTAAAAGAATTCATAAAGTTGTATACAATGAGAAATCAGTAAAAATCTAACACGACTATCTCCAACTAAGGTTATTTTCTAAATAACTGCAGGAATCGTTGTAGATACATCACTGAAGTTAGGTTAAACCAAAGTTCTGTGGATGGGAAGACACTCTGCAACGATATATCTATAGATCATTTTAGGGAGATCTAAGATCAGTTATATATCTTAATCATGTTTGAGAATATGTCTAGATCATGTCGCGAAAGGTTTAGGACCTGTAAGTCAAAATCTGATTAGTTGTACCCTTGATAGGCAAAGGGGCTGTATTTGTATACTGCATTTGATAGAGCAAAACGAGTTGATCTTGCTTTGGATCTTGAAACGCATCTCTACAAAACTTTATTTTTGTTATTTTATCTTACTGAATGCTCTAAATGTAGCTTGGATGTCTTTCACTGAAGTATAAAAGGCTTTTAATGAAGGACTGTGTACCTGTTATGATGAATAGAGCCAAAGAAAGTCACTTCTTAGATACTTAAGGGTTAAGTACCTATAAAGAAGAACGGTTCCGAAAAACTTTTACTTCTTCGAGAAATAATTTTCAAAAAAGTTTGGTTCCCCCAGCTACGAAAACCTGCAAATGTTTTGTATTGTCTAATAGATGCGCTTAAGATCTGCAATTCTACAGAAAGTGTGTTTGTTATTAATCTCGAAAGCTGTTACAATATCCCTGACAACGATCCCAAAAGCTGAGCCTTCTTTCTATATCTACTAATACGTCTTTTGAAGAACAGAAGACATTTCTAGAATGTTAAAATCAAGTAATGTTGCATGAAGCCTTAAGAATACTCATTTGAGCTAAAGTTCCCACTCCGAAGTTACTGCTATATCAAAAATCGAAAATCGAGAAATTTCGAAACTGTTCATTGAAGTATTAGTACTCACATTGCTTTGGCTGATTTTCTAACTCAAATTCATGATCTAATGTTGATGAAGATGAAGTATTTTTGAAATTCAGAGTCATGTAAAGAACATTGAAACTTTCTAGCATTCTTAGTAAATAGAACTGTTAGAAGTAAACGTTGCATCGCTTTGGAGTTTCTGTGAGAGAACATACGATTTAAATAATTTCATTAACATAGCTAATAAACAAAACTGCTAGCAGTGTATGCAAGTTCGCCTTGGAGATGCTGAGGAACGCCATATAGGTTTCAAGTTCGCTCTAGAGTTGCTGGGTTCAATCATGTGTTTTCAAATTGTTAACGATCTGGCTGATTACAACGAGCTTTAAAGCATTCAGAAATATTTTTAAGCTTTTTTTCTGTGATTTATGGCATTTAAAATGTCTTCAATTCTAATTTATCTAAGTTTATTTCACTAGCATAATTAGTTAACAGAACTGTTAGTATTTGCAAGATCGTCTGAGAGATCCTTAAAAACACCATATGGCTTCAAGTTGATATCGTTCAAGTTGATTTCAACGATATTTTAAGTGATCCACTTTAACTCTAAAGCATTGACTTAATTTATATAACTAATTTGATAACACTTACTAGTTTTCTTAGTTGCTAAAACTATTAGTGACTTATGCAAGATACTTCGAAATACTGAGGAATACCATTTAGGTACAAGTTGATATCGATCTAGCTAGTTTTAACGAGATCTTGCAAGATCGCCTTGGTGATCCTGAGCAACGCCATATAGGTACATATTCGTCTAGAGTTCTTGGCTTCCATCATATACATATGTGTTCAAATTGAAAACGATCTAGCTGTTTCCACGCAACTTTAATGCGTTCAACAATCCCAAAGCATCAATTTTATTTGTCTAATTGTATTCTAGCAAAACTCTACTGCTTAGCGCATACGTTAAAAATTTCTAAGTATCTACATAAGTATAAAAAAAATTGTGTCTTAGCTGCTATCGCGTTTCTTTCTACACACATTCTTGCAAGTAAACCAAGCATTTGCTGCATGCTTCCTTGCTGTATTTTCTCCCTTACTTTAAGCCACATTTTTGTAGCTATCGCTGCGCTTCTGTTAGTACCACCCGCTCTTGCGCATTGCTCTTGGGGTGGTTCGTACAACAGCGCTCGATTTGTTTCAAACGCAGTGATCTTCTTGATCATATGTTCTTTTTTACATTTCTCAGTTCTGCGCTGGCTAAAGTCTAATGCACACAGTTGGTATCTTCGTGTTTCAGTATCTATCTATCTACATACTTGTACGTTCTTCTGCAGTACATATTATTCGTTTGTTTCCTTTTCGCTTACCGAATTTCGCCCGATCTTCCACACAGCTGTTAAGCAGCAGCATTGAGACCGAGTGTGGCAACTTCAACTGTTATGTCGAAAACGTTTGTCACTCACACGCATACATGCGCATTTCTTTTAACCACAAATCTTATATCTACGCCATTCTTCACTATCTTGCTCTACACAACACTACGTTTTCGTCGCGTTTCTCACCTACGGTGGCTCAGGTAAAAACCTTTATTGAATTTTTGGCGTTCTGCAGCTTCGCAGTTGGTTTGTGCGCTGTTGTTGTTTTAACTACAAAAACACACACATATATGTATGTATGTGTGAGTAAATTTTTAAGTGTGTCTTCTTGCCTCTCTTTTATGGCTTGGCTATCCTGCCATTGTCTTTTCACTTCATCTGCACTTTAACGACAATGTGTTCGTCATTTGTGCTTGGTTTTCGGATTTTCGGTTTCTTCGAAAATTCTTTCAGCTTAGCTATACCAAAAATAAGAAAAACAACAGCTGCAGCAAACAACAACAATGCAAAAGACGTTAGCTGCGCAGTGGTCTTTTGTAATTACCACTGCTGTGGCAGGACAGCAAGATCGATAATAAAAGCAAACACAACTACAAACTCAAGGCAATGACATAAATAACAACAACAAGCGCAAATGAAAAAAAAAACATTAAACAATTAAATTTTGTAGTCGCAGCAAATAACAATGATTCACAGTTTTCTTTTAATGCCATACCATTTTCGGCCCCCGCGCCCGCCTGCGCAACACATTGTCGACTTGAGATCCTTATAGCAGCCAGTATCATATTTTATGACTTTCGGTGATAACTATTCTCCTTTTGTTTTTAATGTCTTTGTAGTTGTCTTAATTAAAAAACAATAAACAAATAATTAAGCCAAACGGAAATAGGAAATCGCAGAACTTGTTAAAAAACTGGTAGATATTGTGAAGAATTGCAATTTACTTTTCTTAAGTAATGAGTTTTTACAAAGCGCAGAAACGACTTTTTGCAATTATTTTCAGTGCTCAAAATATTTGTAGAAACTTTGTCTAACTCACCATAGGAAAGTTATTCAACAAAATTGTCTGCAAACTATGTAGAACCCATAAAAAGAATTGAACTTTACCTTTCTTTAAGTAATGTATTTTTTAAAAGACTACTTTTTTATTATTATTACAGCTCAAAAGTTTTGTTCTAACATTTTTCGAACTCACAATGGCAGTAAGTGCACTAAAACGCACTTCAATTGTCTGCAGACTGAATAGAAACCACGCTCAACAACAATTTTTAAAGATATTTTGTGCAATCACCCAACAAACAAAAACAAAAGAGAAAGAGTCGTGATCGAGTTCACATTTGGCGATTTTTTATACTGTTAAGAAAAAGAAAACAGCAGAAACCCTTTTATGTCTTCGCTCAGTTATGGGAGGCTCGAAACCCCCCATAGAAATCTTCTTCAGTACGGTTCACAATGTATGTATGTATCTACACTGAGGTAACCATATTTGTCCCGGCAAAATCCGAGACGATTTTTTTAAGTCATCGATATTTTCTATATTATAATTTAGTGAAAATAGCGACATATAATAGTTGAAAGAGCAACACAATTTTATTTAATTCATTCTTTTATCTTTTATTTTCTAAGACCGTGACAGACGGAACGCTTAACTTGGAATCCGGACTGTCCCGGCCAAACCAGAACGAATGGTCAGCTAAATCTACAACTTAGACATAGCGAGTCAGTGATTGAGATAACTTCAACAGACCAAAAATTATATTCACATAGTAACACTCTCTTCTTTAAAAGCCACGAGCCAAAAAACCAACAGCAAATAATCGTTTGGTTCCGCTCTCAATAGCTCTGCACGTTAGAGTATGCAGGGATGTGTAGAACTACAGAAGCTCTATAGCTGCATTAATATAATAAAGATCTGTACAATCACGTTTCCTGCAGAATATCTTTAAACTGCCGTTTAACTTCCATAGTCGTAACTATTCGGCTCAACGTTGGTCTTACATGTCTAACAATCGCACGAATAATCACAAACTACAGATCTTGCTCTTAAAAGCCACGGCTTAATAATCTCGAAAAGTTCAAAAGAAAAAAATGCCTTCGATCCGGTTTACAGTAATTGTACACGTTAGACATTGTTTAGATCCAGTACTTCAGTAGATCCACAATCACATCCACGCAATAAAGATCTATTTTTCAAAAGCCACATTTCTTGCAGAATTTCTCTAGCTGAGCTATCATGTCCAAGAATCGATACATGCATGTTATCTCACTCTAGCAACAGCAAGACACTGTAGCAACAGCAACAGTATATTTCTCAGCTCTTTCACTTTGAAGCAAAATTTTAAAATCTATAAATAATATGTAGAACTAACTGCCAAGCGATCAGCTGTCACATAATGAAGCTTTTTTTTTTTGCTTAGCCTGGGAGTCAAATCTGTAGATTATAAAAAAAGAAAATTTTTGAAAAAAAAACATTTTTTTTTTAAATCTAGAGGCTCGGTTTTAAAGTAAATTTTCGAGTTAAAATTTTTATTTCGTAAAAATTGTTTGATAAGTGTTCTAGAAGTTGTAGAGTGCCCTCTTTCTGGCCAATTAAAAGTTATCAACTTAAAAAAATTGTTTGTGGTCATTATTGGAGTTTTAAAAAAAAGTCTTAAACGAAAACATGCTTTCCTTAAGAGTTAAAATATATTTTGAGTCAAAAACCGTCAAATTCAGTAATTTTTATGTAAATGTGAAGAGTTTAAGCCAAAAAAAATTTTGTTTGCTCACAAAAAATTTTAACTCAAAATTTACTTTAAAAGTGAGTTTCCAAAAATTTTTCTTTTTTTATAATCTACAAATTTTACCCTCAGGCTAAGTAAAAAAAAAATTTTTGCTCCACCCTAGTACTCGTAATTATTTAATTAATTACAATTTCTAATTCTCTAAAATTTTTATGCGAAATATTCTAAATTTAAATTTTGGAAAAAATACCGTTATGTCTCCAAAAAAATTTTATTTTAATAGACATATACATATATACCACACATGTTCGAAAGGCATTTATAATACATTACTGCAAAAGCAGTAAATGAATGTATCAAACACCACACCTCCTCATCACTCTGCAATTGAGACCGCCAAGACAGTTCCGCAGACTTTCTTTCCCAGCGCTAAATTCAAACGCAGCTGTGCCAAAAAACGTTGATCAGATTTGTGCTGAATGCGTACGAGCAAACACCCAAAAGCGTCAAGCAAATATCAGAAAATAAAATAAGAAAACTTACAAAATAAAAGTAACAACAACAATAACACAGCACATATCGAGTAAGGCTACAAATCTACATATGTAGATGCGATAATAAACATAAAGCTAGCAGCAACAAAAATAATTACCTACTTATAAATGATATGATAATCATAAAAATAACAAAAAAAAGGGAAACAACAACAATCGCAACAACAGCAATAAACAAATTCATTAGAAGCGCAGCTAAGCAGTTGTACACACGAAGCGGGACAAGCAGTAGAACAGCTGCCACACAACTAAAACTCAAAACATAGTAAGCGTTAAGCTCAAGGGGGCGGAGCGGTTAAAAGCGGAAACTCAGAAAGATTGTTGAAAAAAGAATTACAAAAGTAAACAAATTTTAAGAAGATCATTTGCTACCAATCTTCAGCTTAAATTTATAATTTTTTTTTTGTAAATTTTTTGTTATTTTTTTTGTATTACTTTTAATTCGTTAACTGATTTCTGGGAGCTTATTTGGGGCAGCTGCGTGTATCACTAGGTGGTATCATTAATTACTGATGCATACTAGATTAAAAGCATCAACGTAGCTTAGTAATAAAGAGAATAACAATAACAACAATAAAAAAGTGTTGAAACAAAAGTAGGGGAAATATAAATGAGAAGCACAAAGTGTGGTTAGAAGATTAATGACGTTTAAAGGAAACAAAAAAGCGACAATTTTGGCAGAAATTTGTGGAGCGATACAAAAAGTAATGGCATTTTTTTTAACAGGATAAAAAAAAAAAAACATAAAATAAAAAAATATAAATAAAAAATTTGCGGTTAACATATGATCGATGTGCGATCGTTTTCGCTAAAAAAATTTCAGCCCGTACCAACTTTTATGTATTTACTCGATCATATTGTATTTATATACAAAATTCGATTAATTTTGAAGTAAAAATTGCACGCTGATGGTTTGTGTCGAGATCTTTCCGACTAACGATTTTCACTGCTCGACACCGAACCTAAGCTGCGCCTTTGTAGACTGCAACTACTTAATATTTTCTGACTAAATAATAAAACTGTTGCCATTAAGGGTCTTTTGATCCAGCTTAAAGGAGTTTTTAAGTACCACAACGGAGCGTTTGAGCTGTCCAAGTGTCATCCTTCTTAGGATCGACCTCCTAACCTAACCTAATATGGTATAGTGTTCCCATAACGGCGGTTCCGACAAATGCGCAACTTCATGTGGGGGTAAAGGATGTGTCCAAACTTTCAGTTTGATAACTCCAAAAATGCGGACATGTTTCTTCTCAAATTATATATGCCTTTATATTGCAAAGTGGTGCTCCGTAATACTTAAATATAAACGGTAGCATAATTTGCATATATTTAGGCGCTGAACAATGGTCGTGCTTTGCAACATTATCAACTTATAGCATGGCTTACTGTCATTAAGTGCTTGTGGCCACACTATAATCTCCAGGCTTCTAGGAATTGTTATTTTCTAAAACTAAGCTTTTCAAACCAAATTGGAGCGCAAAAAAAAATTTTCGTTGCTTAACCTGAGGGTAAAATTTGTACAAATATATTATAATAAAAGAAAAGTTTTAGAAAAATTTTTTTTTAACATCTAGAGGCATGACTTTTAAAGTAGATTTCTAGTTAAAATTTTTATTTCGTAAAAAATTTTTGATAAGTGATCTAGGAGCTGTGGAGGGTCTTCTTTTTGGCCAATTAAAAGTTTTCAACTTAAAAAAATTTTTTGTGGTCATTATTGGAGTTTAAAAAAAGTCTTAAACGACAACATGCTTTTTTTAAGCGTTAAAATAAATGTTGATTCAAAAACCGTCAAATTCGGTAATTTTTATATAAATGTGAAAAGTTTAACCAAAAAAAATGTTTTCTCGAAATTTACCTCAAAAATGAGTTGGCGTAAAATAATTTTCTGTTTTTATAAGTTACAAATTTTACCCAGGCTAAGCAAAAAAAAATATTTAATAGTGTAAATAGCAATATTCCGCAGAACTTCAGTTACATATCTGAAAAATGTGGGTATTTTGCAAAAATTTCTTGGCGCTTGGCAAAATTTTGACTATAAACATATATGTATAATATATATATATATAATATATATATATATGTGTGGGTGTATATTATTTCTATGAAGACAACAACAAAAACACCGGCAGTCACAAATCAAACGTAGCAGCTAATAAACAAAAATTCGCCGCAGTCACTCGCGTTTAATGCGAAACAGACAGACAGTTGATGCTTTGCTAGAGTAAACGCCATTTAAGGCACAGTGGGTTGAGTTGATAAATAGTTAAGTATATTTAATATTGTTAGTTTTTATATTAAAACATTTTTGTTTGCATTGAAAGATCAATATTTTTTACAGCATTTAGTAAAGCTATCGTATTTTTGTTATTAAATTTTTTTTTTTATTTCATATAAAAAATTTTTATATTATTTTATTTTTAATCTTTTCATATATTATTTTATTTTTTATACTTTTGATATATTATTTTATTTTTAATCTTTTCATTTTCATACTCGTAAATTTATTTATTTTTATTTCATATATTCTGTTTTTTGCTTTGAATTTTTGTCCAATTTTTCGTTTGTTGAATATATATTTCAAAAATCTAGCAAAACTTAATGTTTCTGATCTTTTTATCTGGAAAAAATCATTCAATTTCAATTTACAACTTTTTTATTTTTTATTTTTAAGTTTTGAAATTTTTAATTTATTTAATTT